TTTGTTATTAATAGAATTTTTAAAAGGGAACTGATTCGTACACAACATTTTTTTTCCATACACAACAATTTGTGCTTTAAAGTGTTGTATTGTACAACTCTATAATGCATAAATTGTTGTGTACGACAAAAAACTGTTGTGTACGAATCACTTCCCTTTTAATGTTAGCATAATTATCTTTTACGACATCTAGTCCAAAGGTTTTCAATCTTCTAAGTTCTAATATTTCCATATTCAAAGCTTCTAATAACACTTCATTCTTAAATTACACATATAAAAGAATACATTGGAATATAAAGTCTAGTAAATAAGGTAGGATTAAATACAAAATCATCATCTCATCAAATTTCAGATTTATCCCTCATAAAACAATCATGGTAAACAATTAATTACATCCAAATCATATATATTATCAATAATGAATAAAAATATTCACTATCAAGATCATTAATAATTAACAATAATATCCATTACTAATATCATCAAAAATAAACAAAAGTACTCACTACTAAAACCATCATTAGTAAAAAACTATCAAAATCATCAAAAATCAATAAGAATAATTATTATCAAATTATCAACTAACTCACTTCAAGAAGGTAACGAGTCAAAGTAATTTATGTGCTCACATTGATAATGAAAATTTGTTATCACATAACCCTCCCTTAACTTCTTAGAATATCAGCAAACTCTATATTATACAATCTAATATAAAGTCATCATTTAACTACTCATGATTAACCAATTAAGGATATATAAACTTAATTTATCCATTTCAGTACCTTTAATGTCATTATATTTTCTACAAAAAAATAGAAGTGACTTAATGATTTTTGTAGATTTTTTGCAACCCTAGGCCAAATAAATTAGGCATATTAAGTATAATTTTAATACATATTATGAAATAATGATATTAAGAAAAACACCTTGCAGGATATAAGTTGTAACGCTCGGGTTTTCAGGGCTAAGCATTTTTGTCAATGTAATAGTCTAGGTCAACTATTGTAACTCTTTTTGAAGTAATAAATATGAAATATTTGAGTATTATGTGAATTATGTGTGTTTATGTGTTTATTATTTAATTATAAATGTATAATTAATAAAGAATAAAAATGAGCGTCAAAATTAAAGTGTGAGATAATCCCGATATCTCTACATAAAGTTGTAGAATATGTCTCAAGGTTTCCGTACATATAAAGAATGCCGAAATTCGAGCTATAACGAAGAAGTTATGGCCCGCCGAAGTTTTACGGCAAAACCGGCACGACACCGGGAGACGTAAATAGTGAATTTACGATAGAAGACTTTTTAGCCTTAGCAATCTAAACAAAAGTCGTAGAATATGTTAAACTAAGAACATCGATAAAAAGAACGCCCAAATCTGACTTCGTATGAAGAAGTTATGATTTTTCTAAGATTCGGCTTAGCAGTGCACGGCCTGAAACTCGAATTTTAGTTCGAGCGGTTTTTGGCTTACGCAACGTAAATGAGAGTTGAAGATCTCATTAATAGGAAATCAACGGTAAAAAGACAGACAAAAACAGAGTCCGTATGTAGAAGTTATTAATTTTACGCAGACGTTTAACATATAACTCCTTGTACTGTTAAATTTAAGATCGGTCGAGAATTAGCTGACGGTGTCAAAATGAAAGTTGTAGATCTTATTATTACCTACGCGTGGATATAAAGAACGTCAAAAACGGAGGTCGTATGTGAAAGTTACGGATTTTAGAAGTCGGAAGTGTGCTGTGCGAAAATGGGTGATGTGGCACAATCTTGGCCATTGCTTTCTCCCCAAGGCTTGCCACCAGATGGTGACATGTGGCACCAAGTTCAGCCACATTTCACCCTATAAATACCACCTCTCCCACCCTCATTTTCTTCACACCTTTCCCATTTTTCTTCTCTTTACTCTCTCTCTCTCTCTAGAACCTCTCTCTAGCCCCGAAATCCCCCGAAAAGCCTAGGGAACCTCCCTAGCACGAGGCGGAAGCCCCGGAGTGCTCGAAGGCTCTGAGAAGAAGAGCTTTTCGGCTCGGGAACGCTGCTCCAAGCAAAGCCCGGTTTTCTATAAAACCCGCTGTAAGTGAGCTACGCCTACGCTATTTTTAATATAACTTTTATTTAATTATAGTAACGTTATTAGGAACTTATAATAAATACTTGGGCTATTATTATGGGTTATATAAGTATTTTTTTGACGCTTATATAATAATAATAATAATAGCTAGACTATTAATTAGTCTCGACGAATAATAAACTAAACTCTAGTGGTAATAATACTAGGTTTCGTCGAAGAAAAATTCTTTTTAAGAAGCGAAGCGCTGTCTGAGTTCGGAATCACCACCTTTTCCGGTGAGTGCATAGTTACTTTCAGCTTACACATAGATATGAAGTATTTTATATAAATTACGTGCTATGTGTGCATATTATCTGAATACTTGCTATCTACGTTAGATGAACGTTGTTATACATGTTTTCAATGATTTAAACTGTATATGTATTTTATATCTACGAAAATGTTGGGGTAAAACATGGGTAGATGTAATAGGTGATGTGTGATAAAATGATGAGAGGCCTCGATGTTGTTGTTGTTGATCCAGTCATCTAGCGGAGTATAGATGACGACCACGGACTCTTCTAGACAGTCCAGTGGAACACTAGCAGGCTACCTGTAGGTGTTGTGAACGATGTGTTCACCGGTGTACTCCATCCCCCACATGGTTGCCTATTAGGACATTTATTGTTGAGGAATCCCCTTAGCAGTAGTGTTCGTCCCGATGATGATCCTTAGGCTAGGTCCCTTATGATAGGTGTTTAGGGACGTAAAGTGAGGATAACGGGAACGGGTAATCGGGTTATTGTTGATTGATGAAATTAATAAACTTATTTATTGTGGGTTGAAAACCCTATGTGCTCACCAGGCTCCCAAGCCTGACCCACTCAGTTTTATGCATTACAGGTAGTGGCGCATGAGCATAGGTGTGATGTTTTGGACGAGGGATTACGGATATAGGCCTGTAGATATGAAATAATGTAGTAAGGCTTATATTGTACTGTTTATACTTTTGATCTGTACGAACATGACATCCCGAGTCTTTTAATGAAATACATTTCTATGGAAATGCTTTTGATAAATCTTTATCATATTATTGTTTTGGGACAAATTCCGCAACCCTTTTATTAAAAGATAACTCTGATTTTGAAATAAAGTATAAACAAAACCGGTCTTTTCTGGCCGTGATTTTGGGGATGTCACATAAGTCCCAACAAGTTGTTAACATTTTAAAGTTTTTTAATACATACAAGGGTGTAACAAAAATAATCAAGAGACAACGGGTTAAAGTAAACAAGTTACAACCATCGATATCTAAATTTAACGACTTTTAATTATCCAAGAGTTAGTATTGCCAATGTTTCAAACTTATTGCATGTGAAATACAAATGTTTTGCTAGGAAAGCCTAGTGACTATACTTATAGTCAACTATTCAAGGGCAGAGGATGGGAGCAATCATCCAATCCCAAAAATCAAACCCTTAAAATGGTTTTCTAAATCTTTAACGAACAATATAACATAGATTTAGGGAACACATCAAAACATAAGCGAGTTTTAAGTCATTTCATAAATATATAAATAACTCAATAATTAGAGTATGCAATTCATATGAAATTACTCACAATCTTAAGTCAATTTCGTAGTCTCAAATCATCAAATACAATTAAAATTATGTTTTAAGGAGCCACCTTTAGAACCCACACAAGGGGTTGCGAGTCCCTCATGTGGATGAGACCTTCTAATATGAGATCACCAACCCTTAATTTGGACATTCATTTCTTAATTTGGATATTCAAGTCATGAGGGGCCACAAGTCTCAACCAATCTTATGTGTATGTATAAGCAGGATACTTAAAAATAGTCTCAACACAAACCAAAAATTTCTCGAGATGAAATAAGTTTCTTTCAAAATAGATTTTATGCAATATACAAAATACTTATAGTAAAATACTTGTTGTACTCGTATTGAAATCAATCATTCCAAATCAAATAAGATTTAGGGACATGTACTATTGGTATAACTCACATTATGTAGGAGAACAAACTCATTTTATTATCGAGGTTATTGGAATACTTAGTGATCACCGAAAGTTAATAAGGATTTGATTAACTATCTCCTATTTAAGGTCTTACTTTTAAACATAACATTTTATTGGTCTCAATTCTTGTTAAACATCATAGAAGGGCTTAGGAGAAGATTTGGCATGGATTTGATTGTGTTTGCATACAGTAATTTTGTATCCAAAATATGCATTACACGACCGTGTATTTTTACGCTTGCAAAACATGGGTCTTGTTTCACCCAACCAAACGACTAAAAACATGTTTAGTACATCGAGTAAAATTTTATTTAATAATAATAACAATAAATCAAGAACATTAACAATACTATAAGACAATATTACAATAAAAAACAATAAAACATTAAAAAAACATTGGTGTTCTAAGAATTTCTAACTAAATGACTCGTTTAACAACGTTAATGTCTAATCTAAATAAAATGTCAATCATTTTGGTTATTTATAATTTGGATATAAAAATTAAACTTATCTTGATTTTTGTATGTATTTACCCTTATCATACTTATTGCCTGCTTGTATTTCTCATCTGCATTGTACGATGATAACTAAGTTTTAGAATACAACAAACCATTAGGATTCTAGTTTAATTTTTTAGTTAAAAACCTCAAAGATAAAAAAGAGCATTAAAAAAAAAAAAAAATTATACTAATAAAGACTTTAACACCAAGTTAGAGATCGACCATATATGTGCAAGGTCTAAAAGCAAAGTTCTTCACTGCGTTTGCCTTTCGTCTTCTAACTTCTCAAAACCCCTAACGCATATTCACAAATTTTCTTCCACAGATCTCCCCAACTACCGTAGGCTTTTCAAATTCGATCAATGGCGTTCCAAAACCCTCTGTGAAGCCACGCATTTGTTACCATGGAACCTGCTAAGAGTAATAATGGTGCTGCTGACGCTGTCGCTGTAGACGCTGCTGGTACTGCTCCGCCTTCATCCACTCCGGCTCCGGCTCCGGCTCCGATGCCGACCGCTAATGCTCCTCCACCGTTTTTGGTGAAAACATACGATATGGTGGATGATCCTTCAACCGATATGATTGTTTCCTGGAGTGCTACCAATAACAGCTTCATCGTTCGGGACCCTGCCGAGTTTGCTAAGGATCTTTTGCCCAAAAACTTCAAACACAACAATTTCTCTAGCTTCGTACGACAGCTCAACACTTATGTATTATTCTATTCCCCTTACTCTTTCATTGATTCTTATTCAATTGCTATGTTAATTTTAATAAAGGACACCTTAGGTATATGTTTCATAAATCTCTCTGTTGGAAGATGTTAAGGAGGTTCTGAACATTCATTTTTGATAGAATTGGGTTAAAACTTAGAACCCCTTTTGAATCCTTGTTGAAATAGCAAGGTTTTTCAAGAAGATTTGAAAGTAAATTACTGATGCTATTAATCTTGGCTTAACCACTTTGTAGGGTTATCTTATAGTTGCTTATCACAAGGTTAACAATTCGAGAGCTTCATTTGATTTAGTCATAATATTATGATTATGTTATCTGTGTTTGACAACAGAACACAAATCAATCCCCTCATTTCATGTTTAGTAATTACTTTGAACATAACATTTCACTGATTTGAGGACATATTGTATAAATTTATAATCAATTTTCATTTGTTTTTGTGGTGAAAAACAGGGATTTAGGAAAGTGGACCCCGATCGATGGGAATTTGCAAACGAAGGATTCTTACGTGGTCAAAAACACCTTCTCAAAACCATAATCCGCCGGAAACCCGCCCCATCACACCACCACCACCACCACCACCACCACCAACCAAACACACAATTACAAACCCCTTCAGTCACCTCATGTGTAGAAGTTGGAAAATTCGGTCTAGAAGAAGAGGTTGAAAGACTAAAAAGAGACAAAAATGTGTTAATGCAAGAGCTTGTTAGATTAAGACAACAACAACAAGCCACGGATAACACAATGCAATCAATGGTTCAACGTCTTCAAGGCATGGAACAAAGACAACAACAAATGATGTCTTTTCTAGCAAAAGCAGTCAATAGCCCCGGATTTTTGGCACATTTTGTACAACAAAACGAGGCTACAAAGCTTATCACAGAAGGGAATAATAAAAAACGGAGGATTAAGGAAGACGATGGACAGATTGTCAAATACCAGCCTCCACCTCCACCTCCACCTCCCGGAGTTATGATTCAGGAGGTGGTGCCACCACCACCGCCAGCCTCCGGTGAGTTTTGTCTAGCTGATATGGTGGAAGATGTGGTGAATGGGGATTTGATTGAAAAGATTTTGGAGAATGGGAGTTTGTCTCCTGGTGGTGATGTGGAGTTGGATTTTTGGGAGCAGTTTTTGGAACCGGGCCCACAGGATATGGGCCCGGCTCCGATGAATGGAAATGGAAGTGCCAAGGGTGAGCTGCAGGAGCTCACCCAACAAATGGGACTTCTTTCTTCTGATATGAAATAAGGTTGAGGTTATATGTTTGAATAGTATGTACAAATGTGGTTAGATAAAATAGTGTCATGGTCGTTTTTACCATTTTGACCTTAGAGTGAGAGGCTAATGCTGGATTTTACAGACTTGTGTCTTATAGTTTTGTGAAAATCTAAAAAAGAAAAAACAGTTTTACTAGTTAAAACTCCTGTTTGAAAAACATAAGGGTAGTGGTGGTATTTATTGATCGATGATGAATATGAGTGTTTTTAAGATAATTTTTGTTATACTTTAGAGTTCGTTAGATCTCTTGACCGAATGATAGACACACGAGGATAGTAGTTGATAGTAAATAAATAAATTAAAAACAAATATAAATAAGTGTATCCATAACTTTCACTAAGGCTATGTTAGGTGCAGGTGATCTGAAAAATATAAGATGACTTAAAATGACATTTAAAAGAATGCATTTCTATAATTAATTAAAGGGTATATTTGAAAATTTTTAACAAAAAACTCCTAGAAGGTTAATCTAAGGTTGTGTTCGGCAAAATTAACTGTTAGCAGGTAACTTATAATTTAAACAAATATGAGTGTTTTGTTAAACGTTACATGAAGTAGCATTTGGATTTGAAGAGTTTTGTTTAAAATAAACCCTAGATTCTTGTAATGTCGAACGAGGTTTTTTGTTCAGAATGAAAAGTTTTGTCAAACACTAGAAGCTAAAAGCGATCAAACGGTCCGTGACGAACACACCAATAATAATAAGCTTTTATTTGCTAAACATGACAAGTTAAAAAAATTCGAAAAACGAGCTAACTATGACTTTCTAAACTGAGGCGTTGAATATGTAAAAGGTCATGTAAACACATATCATCTAAATTGTGGTCATGTAAACACACATCATCTAAATTGTGTTTTTATTTGGAGTATATGTTTCAAACAGAAAATTTATAATATATTAGAAGAAGTTTTAGGCAAAAATAACATGTTTTTTTCCCAAATAACCACTAATTTCACATATTCAACTTGAAAAATTACCATATAACTTACGAAATGTCTAAATCAATGTTGTTCAGAAATAAAAATTATTTTGCAGGTTTGACCAGTTCAAACCTATCCGAATAGTATCGTTTTGTTGTTGTAATAATAATAATAATAATAATAATAATAATAATAATAATAATAATAATATAAGGTCAATTTCGTTGGACCTATGAGATTCATGGTTATTATGGAATTTCTTAATTTTTGTTTAGTTTTTAGTTTATTGTAATAGATATATTTATTATTTTCAAATTCTCTAATTAAATCATCAAGCTAACTTCAAAGATGCTTGGTAAACTAGAAAGTTTGGGGGTGGTATTGTAACGTTCAGAAGCTGAGGGACAAGATTAATAATATTTTAGTTCGGAATTTGGGATATATATTTAAGGGATTCAGATGAAATTAAAATCCCCAACAAAGTTTTACTTCAGTTCGTTTGAAAATCGAGAACAGAGCCGATGAGCAACAGTTCACTGACGTCATCACCGGCGAGGTCGTCGATATCGACGACGGCGATAATAGGAGCCAACGTTATGTCTTCATCACTAGCCGCCGATGAGGTCCATTTCTCAACCGATCTCATTACTATCCAAGATCGTAAAGATGAGGCTCTTCGAGGTTCAAAATCTATAATCATGTCTATATGTTATCGCAAACAGATCATATTACTTAGTTTTAATGAACCATTTCTATCTGAAGAAGTTTTAATTCGCTTCTAGATTTCTAGGTTTCAATCATGTTCTTTGCAATTTTACTTGTGGGTGTTTAAATTTTGTAACAAAAGCTCAGTGAATTCTGAATTCGAAAATACTAGGGTTAATATGAGTCAACAATAACGCATTTTGAAACATTCATATGGAAGCTGATTTAGTGTTGTAATTGCAGCTTTGAAATCTGATTTGATGGCTTCACTGAACAAGGAAGTAAGAATGTTGGATGAAGATAGTTGGATGTTTGAAGGACCTCGTTCACGTATTCACCTTATTTCACGCCCAGGTAAAACCATCAATCAATCATCAATAACCAGACATTAGTCCCATTATCCAAATTCTGATTTATGAACCCTAACTCTGACTAATTCAATTCATGTGTTAAGCCTTCCAAGATCATAATGAAAGCATCATATTATATTAGTTAGTTTTAAGTTCTAAGTTTCTCATTGGATTCTACAGGTGGTCTTGTTACAAAGCATGCAGAAACAATGAAGCATAAGCTGGCTGCTCAGAAAAGGCATCAGAATAATGTATCTTCATTCAAGTAGAAAACTTTGTATTAAGTGGCTGCATATTATTAGTAGTATATTACAACTTCATTCAACTCAAGTTGCAGCTAATTTGGTTTGGGCTTTTAACCATTATTTGATATATACATAAATGTTGCCATTTACTTTTTTTTTTTTTTCAATCAAATGATCCATCTTAACAAGGACTAACATGAGCTCATTTTATTAAAAATGCAACAAAATACCTAGCCCCATAAAAATGAGATAAGGGGAAGGTCAAATATAGGATGAGGGTAGGGAGACTACTTCCATTGACAACCACCAATTGAAGGAAAACAAGCTCGTATCATATGAAACATTGGCCCATGAAAAGATACCTGATTTTTTCTTGATATCATCTTTCATCACGACTCTAATATTGCACAAACTAAAGATAGAAGGAAAAGAGACCTATATAAAGAATTGACTAAAAAAAAGAAACATGAAAAACTAGTCATTTAAATCAGATAACCTTAGCCGGATTGTCCACTATATCATGGTTTTTGGTTGAAAACATGATCGGTTTGGTATGATCTATAAACGTTTCACTCGTGGGTATAAATGAACGAATCACCATAAATATGTAAATATTTTTTTGTTGGAAGAAAATAGAAAGAAATCTAAAGAAAACCAAGTTATCATCAACGCTCTAAATACCTATTGTTTTTGCCATATTCATGCACTTGTTCATGAGCCATAGAAAATCTATACAAACCGTTAAATTACGATTATAACCTTCCCTTCTCGTAATCCTAACATAACATGTATACCCACCCAAAACCTATATCACCAACACGAACACCTCACACACTTCCCTAAACACGTAAAACATCCACATCCCAAACACGAAGGGCATTTAAGTAACTTCAAATCCGGGCATTTCGGTTTCACCGACCCGCAACAGCAACTGTTCCAATTCAAACAACAACTGTTGCAATTCAAACAACTTGGCAGGCCACAACACTCCGGGCAGCGAGGTTTAGGGCATTTCGGGCAGCTTGGCTGCCCAACTTTTATACAACAAGAACAACAACCACAAGCAGATGATGTCTTTTGTGATAATTTGATCTTTGAAAGACGAGTTTTTGTGGTCATGATCTCCATTTCATATATGAACTTGTAAAGATGACGAATGTAGTCAGGGTATAATTCTAAGTTGCAGTGTCCACCTCCTTTGATCCATAAGGGTTCATACGGGTCCTTAGCCATCTTCCATAGCCTGTTTCCATGTAGCCAATTTACCACATCGTCCTCCGTACCCTGTCATTTTTACATCATCAAATTATTAAGAAAAGATTCATCTAAACAATAATTCAGCAGTCATCCCTTAAGCACTTTATCCAGAGTCCAGATTCCAGACAGACATCATTTTTCCCATTCAGGGCAAGACTTACATGTATAACAAGTGTGGGGGATTTCACCTTCCTGATTTTGTTAACATTCTGCAAATCCAAAATATAAGATAATAAGAGTCCAAAAAACAAGATTAAGAATTTGAAAAAGAAAAAAAAAAAAAAAACCTTGTAAATGTCAACGCAAAACATGCAGTTGACATGGCAGACAACACGAAGGCCAGAAAGAATTGCACTGTGTAAAACAACGCCTCTTAACCTGGGCAATCTAGAAGCCAAATGCAATGTGGGCCCACTTCCTACTGATTGACCATAAAGAATCAAGTCTTCTTGGCTGACTCCATATTCGGTTTGAAGACACTCGTATACTGCTTCTATGTCTGCATATGTATTAAGCTCACTTGCCTGAAATTTATTTAACCCAAAAAAAAAAAATGAATTTTTAATCGCATTTGTATTATCCCAAATTATTGATATTTGGTAATTGGATGTTGTTTGTTCACAAGTTTACCTTTCCAGTTGATGCGCCATAGCCTGAATAATCATATCTGTTAATGAAAAAAAAAAAATCAAAAAAGAAACTATTCATATATGAATGTGAAAGTGAAAAAAAATGACTGTAGAAATCTCATCTCCAATACTTAACTAAAAGAAGTAAAAAAACCTAATTGGTAAATTAGGGTTTCAGTTTCTACACTTTTTCCAGATACTTTATAGCCAAAGAACCAGAGAAAAGAAGTAAGATCCTACAAAAGCTAACGACTTTCTCTTTTTTTTTTTTCTTTCCTGCTATACATATCTATATTATCCACCAAAAGGATCTTGTAAAGATTTTCTATATTTTAGAAAACAAATCTTGAAATCTTTTAGTTTTTTGTACATTATTTTGACATGAAAGGAGAAAAGGATACTTCATGCATCAATCTAAATATCGCATTCATAAAATCCAAATCCAAATCAAATTTTAAAGAGAAGAACAAAAAACCAAAAAGTCCAAAATCAATCACATCAACGAGCATAAGAAGTGAAGTCAAATCAATATCATGATCTAAGTAAGTAAGTAAAACAAAAAACAAACATCAAATTTTATACGAGTTATTAACAGCTTTGCAAATAGAGATTTGACATTCAAAGAGATCATTATATCTAAAGGGGTCAAAACAAACTGTAACAAAATCATGAAGAGACTACATCCATAAATAAAGATGAAAACTTTCTTTAAAGTAAAAGTAAAATAAACAAAAAAAGAGAGAGAGAAGTACCCATTACATTAGAGATTGCAGAAAGCTAGATAAGATTATATAACCAAAGATTCAAGAAAAGAATATCATGATTTCTTGCAAATTAAAGAAAAAGAAAAAGGGAAAGTTCCATTATCCTAAACAGGAAATTCAATTCAAACAAACATTCGTAAGCTAAATGTCGATAATTTGGGAACATTAATTTAGGGGAAAAAGTTAGGTAGAAGAGAAAAAACCGACCCCATAAGATTGACTCTGAGATTTGCTTTGAGTTGAACAAAGAGGTCAAAGAGTTGACCCAAATCAGCAGCATTTCCATGAGAATACAGCAGTGTGAGCTTCGCATATGGATTCTTAAGATAAA